TCACATATATAGGTTCCACCAAGGGGATAGGTAGTAAAATTCAACCCATATGATTTGGGACACCTCTTAAACATTTATTTGAACAGATTTAGCCAAAAATCTGGAGAAACCATGACATCTGCAGTTGCGGTGATCACTCTTACGTGGGCTTTTGGCATCATTTTACGTTATCTGCTGCTAAACTGAGGAATGTAAGAAGAATGGGACGTTTTCAACACCTGAGAATGCTGATGGATCAGTTTATGCTATGCAGGACGTACTGTACTGGCGTACTGAACTTTTGTGCACAATAATAATCATTGTGTTATTTTCAGTGTGGGAACATGCCTTATTTTTCTCCAATACCTTTTTTTCTGTTCTCATGCCCTAAAAGAAAGCATGATATAGGAAGTTATCTAAACAAATTTTATAGTTAAGCCAAGCTACATAGATTACAAAAGTTACTGATTGTCTACATTGGTGGATCATGTCCAAAAACTTTATATTTAACTAATACTTGCATAAAAATTTGCTGTACATCTCTGTTTGAAATGTTCTCTTAAAAAACACAGGTTCAGGAAAAGGGACCACAGGCAAAGGTCAACAGACAAACACCAGGTAACCTGGGCCAACGACCAGGTGAGAAGTAAGAGTGACCAGAGGCTGTGAAGCGGGGCCTAAGGGGCAAAGGAAGAGGACCAGGGATGAGGGGCAATAGACCATAGACAAAGGGCAAGGGGACCTGGGGCAAGCATAAGAAGACCATAGGGAGAGGATCAGGAGCAGAATCCTAAATACCCTCCTAATCTTTGAAATTAAGAACTCCATCTGCCAAAAAAAAAAATATTTAGGGATTTCTGTGCAGTTCCCTGAATTGGTTTCAGATCATTTATCTCAAGTTAAGACTCAATAGACATTGGATTGGCCCTAAGGTTAAATAATTACTTGCCTAAATATTTGGAATATAAAATATATTTCGCACTCAAGGCAGCTTATATGGATACAAATAATTTAATCCGACAATCTGTTTAAAAAGATCTACCATATTTGAAAAATCACTTACTCGTACTGAATTTCTGAAGAACCCAAACCTGCTGCAGAGACTAAAAAAGTAAAGGCAATAATTGTGCAAGTCGGGTTTAAACTCTTTGGTCAAACTTTATAAGGTTCAGACTTCTGATGAATTATAAAACAAGGAGAAAAAAAATGATCAGACTTTAAATGGTTTATCTAAATTGCCTTATTTATTAACTTCAATACTATTTAATTCAACTATTATGATTCACCATTCATTATTTTAAGTAAAACATCAAACACACCAAATATTTATGATTCTACTTTATAGTTCTGCTCTTTTTTAGCTTTATTTAATTGAACCCAAATTTCTCTTTACTATTGTTGATGAAAATTGTTTTTTTTTTTTTTTACTTTTGTGTTTAATTTAGCTTTAAATTTTTGCTGTTTTTTTAAACGTTTTGCTGAAACAATATTTTAAATAATATGACCTCATAATTTTTTCTTGACACATAATTAATTTATCTGCTGAACATTAAATAAAACATACTTTACCTATATTTGTTACAAAATAAAAAATACATTTCTACCAAACTGTGACTGCATCCAGCTCGATAGATTATTAATTATTACAGTTTGTCTACTGATACCTAACTAGAGCCGGGAGGATCTGTTATCTAGAACTCACTACATGTATTAAGTATACTGTAAGCAGATAAATAAAGCATTTATAATGAATTCTAAGCTTTACAAAATGTTATATAAAAGCTTTCATAAATAAATTGTCGACATTGCCCTTCTATATAGCTACACACTAGAAATGAACAACATATATGCATAGAAAAATCCAATTGTTATAAAAATAAAATAAAAGATTTCTGGATAAATCATGATAACTCCTATTTATACTAGGGGTAGGAACCCAACATGAAGTTTTTATATAAACTTAAACTTGTGAGCTGATCTGCTCCATGGGTTCCTAAGCTGTCTGTTTAAGGTCTGCAATGCTGAATAACAAATCCAATTCACACAGAGATGACATGAGCCATCAGCAGATTAGTAAAAAAACATATTTCATTATATACCTCCAACTACACTCTGGTTGCATTTAAAAGAACATAAAGTTTATTAACTCAAGGAGAATAAAGACTAATGGGAAGACCACCCTGAGACCCTTTAAAGATTGATCAATCTCCTTACTAAACATGCTCCTAGAAGAGACTCTTAACAGCATGAAACATTACAAAAGTAGTTACTAGAAGAAATATTTCAGTTTGGTAACTGGCTACTCGAGTGCACAAATTGCTCTCCTTATCTTCATTGAGGCCTGAATGTAACAGATAAGAGATTCCTTTAATTGGAAGCTGGGTAAAAATACAATAATCTGCCAGCACTTTATAAATTCTGCATGCAATTATGTTCCTATTCCATACATCAAAAATATAACCTGTGTCTTTTAATGTGATGATCCCCATTCTCCTTTTGGATGCTCTTTTTTCCCCAGTTTATTTTAGCAAAACGCTTTAATCTCTACTTTAATGTAAAATACTGTTTATTTTTTAATTTCCTGTGACCAATATCTAGATCAGCCTCACATTACATCATCATCTCTCACCCTTCATCAAAATGGACACTTAGGAAGCAAAGTGTCAGCTCAATAAGCAGGTTATTGGCATGGGACAGAAGTCACAGCCATCCCTACATGCTCTCAGCAAGCAGCTGATTGGTTCCAAGTGACATTAATGAGGAAGAGAAGGTGTTTATTAGAAGTGGAAGAGCAGGATGGAGGAGTTTATGATTGAATCTGTTGCTCTCTCGTGCACACAGATCACAATAAAATACAAATATTAAAGATGAGAATCAGGAAATAAAAGGGTTCAGTTTCAGTTTTATGGAAAGAAAATGAGAGTTCAAGTTTAAACCTTTAGGAATGAAATTGATAAAAATGTTTACAAATGTATGGAGGGTATATTATTAAATTGAGCTAATTATAAGCTAATTATATGTTTGACCATTTATGAAAATGAAATCTAAACCTATATTTTCACAGACACTTAAAAAAAAATGTTGTTTTTTTTAACCACTTTTTATGTTTTACCACTTTTTATTTTACGTTTTTATGTTTTACCACTTTTTATTTTACGTTTTTATGTTTTCCAAGTTGCTTTAATCTTATAGGTCCATTTGCATAGGTCAAGCAGTACATACATGTAAAGTGGAAGGAAAATTATACACAGAAAATATAAAAGCTGACAAAGAAGGTGTGTATTTTCTGTTACGCCTGTTTGAATCAGTAAAAGAGCCTTCAGTCAGTTTCACGCTGCAGATCGTTGAGATTTACCTCAAGCAGCTTTGAACATATCTCTCCATCTTCTGTGCAGAATAACTTAAGATCAACCAAATGAGGAAGAGAAAATGTGGCTCATTCTGTAAAAGAAACTGAATTGCAGTTGTACATATACTAAGGGAAACCTTTGCTGCCTAAAAGTGAGATTAACAGACCTAAAATCAATCAAATATTATTTACAGTAGTCATTTGTTGTTTTTTATTATCTGACTCTAAAACTGTAATTGATTTGAAAACAATGTCTTGTTTCTTTGTTTTAATAAACTCATCTGTATCAGCAAAACCTCAAGGTTCACTGAAAAGAAAGAAAAAGTAGCAGAACTCAAAATTTTAAGGAAATGAAAATATGTAAAATGTTGACTACAGTCATTTTGCAGTGTTAAAGTAAAGTGCTTTTGGTCCGACTCGGAATTAGTGTTATATTAGAACTCTGCATAGTGTATATCTTACTCCAGTTCTTACTGTAATAGTTTGAAAACTTTGACCTCTATGTTATTGTAACTTTTTTTCCAACCTGAAAACATGAAAGCAGCGGTGACTTACGTAATAAATAAACTACAAATCCTAAACTGCTTACTTAAAGCTTATTGGCCCTTAAAGAGAGAATTTGTCATCCCATTTTTTAAACTCTTTTTTTCTTCCAGGGACAGTAGCAGTTTCAAACATCAGACCTTTGCGTTTTCTCCAAGAAGCAATTGCTCTCTAACCACAGGCAGTTCCAATCCCTGTCTACATGGTTACTTAACTATAAGTTGTGGTCATTATACATTTACAAAAAAAATAAAAAAGTAAGTTTTGTTGTTATTGTACAGAAACTATAATATGACTTTGCTTGGCAACATCTTCAACAGCAATTGGCACTGTTATAAAGGAACAATCTGCCTCTAACTCAAAAGCCACCTCCAAAGGTTGGTTTTACCAGACTTTAAAACAGCAATAAAAGAAAGTTTGCAAAACTTTCAACTGTTGAAATAATCTACAACTTAAAGTTTACAATTATTTTGGTTTTCTGAATTGAGTTTAATAGTTGTCTAATATTTAACACTGTTTTTTCAATTCTATACAATAGAATTCTATACAATAGAAATTTCTTTTTAAGCCCCCCCAAAATTTTGTTTTTTTAGGCCTACATTTATTTGTAAAAAGCAACGGTGATATTTTTTTTTTTTATAGATAATTTATATTAATAATAACAATGTTCCTGTGCAGCTTTATGCACTGCAAAAAAAAAACTTAAATCTAATTAAGTATTTTTTTCTTAAAATAAGTAATTTTTTTCTTGAATTGATGTGGTAAGTGAGGCACTTTGCCTGTGGAACAAGACATATTACACTTAAAATAAGTAAAAAAAATAATAGCTGTGTCTTATTTCAAGAGCATATTATCTACTTATCTTATTTTAAGAGTAAACAATCTTATTCCATTGGCTGATGATTTTATTTAGCTACTCAAATTAAGTACAAATTCACTTAATATAAGACAATTTGCACTTATATCTAGACTGTTTTTGCCGTGTGCGCATTAAGGTTTCCTCCATATGGTCAGCATTTCAGATGAAGACTATTATAAACCGATGGGAAAGTTTAAAGGGAGTGAAAACCTTCTAAAGCAGTAATTATAAAGCAGTTTAAGATCAAATATGAATAATCATCAGTTTTACCTGTACCATTCCAGTCCCTTGTCGTAGAAGCGGTCGAAGAAGTGCGGCTCTGCGCCCACGGCTCTGACGTCCGGATGGACGCGCAGAAACTCCAGCAGAGCGCGAGTGCCACCCTTCTTCACCCCGATAATGATGGCCTGGGGAAGCGTCTTGCTGCCGAAATTATTGGCTATAGAGATGTTGTAGAAAGGCTGGATGCCGTTCGGGGAGTCCGACAGCTGCTTCCGGACGAGCGACGCGGAAGACGCGCTGTGCGCATCGAGAGGCTGCGCTCCTTCTGGACCATCTCTGCTGGACACCGGTCCGTTTTCGTAAACGGGTCTTGGATGTGAGTCGCAGCATTCGTTGAGGCAGTAGAGGAGGTAAGTAAAGAGAACAATCATGGTGAAGAAGAGGGACAGCTTGGACTGCGCCTTCAGGTGTCCAAAGTTGAACGCAGCTCTCCATTTACTACATCCCATGGGTCGCGTTCCTGAGCAGGAGGACACAGCGGAAACATGGCACATCGAGGGACATCATACCACTGTGTTCTCCAGCTCCTCACATGATAACATGGATATTCCAGAGGCGCAAACTGAGCCAAACTTTCCCACTGCGCATCGAGGCAGAGCTCCAGATATCCATCGGTTTTCTTCAGCTCCCAGGAATGAAAGACAGCATCTTTAGAAAGTCCTCCACAGAGCCTGGAGCTCCACTGGCTGCGTCTCAGCGGGAAACCCACATCCACGCCCTGGTCATGAAACGCACGCCCCCTTTTTTTTATTATCTCCAACCCATGCGACGCAAAAATAATAAGAGAATAATTATCACTGAAGGGAACGCACTACGATCCCCTAAAGTGAACAGGCAGGGAAAATTTCTCATGTCAAATTATCATTAGAGCAATTTTAGAGGAATACGGTAGTTAGTGTAATTGTATTTAATGCGCTTTTAATGCGCTGGAAGGAGGAGAAGGTTTGGAGAATGATGGAGGAGGGATATTAGATGTTGGATCAGAGATGTTCCTGTTAAGCTTTAGGGATATTTCTGATTTATTTTATTCCTTCTCGCTTTCTGACCATCCAGAGTGCTGACATCTAACCAGCCAGACCACACAGCCTGCTGGTGCTGAAGATGACACCAATCAACCCCCCATCTGTCCTGACAACAGGGGCAACAGGTGTCACCTGGTTCCTCTCTTCTCCTACTTCCTTTTTAGGGTGTTGTCGGCTGTTTCTGTTTATATAAAGGTTTGTATATAGGTCTTTTTAAAGCAATAAAGGAAAAAATTGATAATGTCAAAGTTGTAGAAGAAATGAACAGACTGTGATAAAAACACTTAAAATGTGTCTGATGATGCCTTGGTATAGCTTCTATGGAGCAAGATGGATCCTCCTCACTTTTTACTCCACAAGAGGTCAGCAGAAGGCCTTCACTCTGATTTGTATTTCTGATATCATTGCTCTAAGTTGCTGTGACCCCAAAGCCTCTTCTAATGAGAAGCATGTTTGCATCTGTCAACATTTCAAAGTACTTTTTAAAGTCGATGATCTAATCCTGCAGGCTTAGAACTCAGTTAAGCTAATTTATGATCAGTTGCAACCTTTAAAACACCAGTCAGCTGCATCTTCTTCTCTTTCGTAATGTAAACAATACTGCTTGCAAGAAGAGGTCAAATCTTTTATTTTCTAATGTGATATGGCTGCAAGATTTCCTAACATGCCTTGTGCCTGATGACATCACACAAGGGAACCTCTAGCAATTGAAAGGGAGACATGAATATATATAATATACGTTTTCCAAAAGCCTCACTGATCCTGCACTCTCTCTGCTCTACTTGGTGTGTTTCCATTGAATCACTGATGGCATCTCCAGTCTCCTGGGTCCTCATTCCGAGATCCTAGGAGACTGATCAGCTGATGTAGGTTGTTAAAAATAAGCCAGCCCCTGTGTATTCTGTGTGTAAATCAGAAAGAAGACATATTGCGTCAGAATTCTGCCAAAAGTCCACACGTGTAAAAATACTCATATGAAGAGTTTTTATTTAAAACACATGCATGTAAACTACTATCCATACACATTTTGAATGTTCTATGAGTGCAGATTTAATACTATGGGGCACCAAATATATCACAATCATGAGTGCATGTTCCTTTTCTGCATTTGTGGTTTGCTTTTTATGCGCCTATAGATTATATCCTACTCACATGTGGATCTGTTTCTCTCCACTCATTTAAACTTTGAAGGCTTTACCCTCTGGATAAAATAACTTGTATGTGATTGGCTTCTTTTCAGGAAATCCCGCTTCTCTAGGCTGTATCACTACCCTATCCGTACTGGTAGCACGATCCGTACAATCAGCTCATTTGGGCATTTGCGACCCGATATACATCAAGGGTCGCTCTCGATTTTATTTTATTACAGAGACCAAAACAAATTTTCTCTCCTCATAATTATGAGCGTACTAAGTAGACTGAGTAAAAGGTTAATAATTTATTTTCGGAGAAATTAAATGCATAATATATCCTTGCCTTTTTATTACTCGTCTGTACCCGATCTATCCCGGAAATGGGATCCGTGACCTAGCTTTTTAGGCTTTGTATTTATACATACATCTAGTCTTTTTGAGTTTTATATTTTGTATTTGTTTTAACCTTATGATATATAATTCGTAACCTGAAGAAAGTTAACAACTAAATGCAGACACACACGGTGTAACCATATTTTGCCAGACTGCTCTGAGCATGTC